CATAACTGCATATGGTGAGGGGAGTATAGGTGTATGTATTGTAAAACTCTACCCAAGCAGAACCTAAGTTTAAGATAGCCAAAAAGGGCATACCAGAAGCATCCTGGTGAAGATAAGAGAACGCTAACGTCCGGAAGACGATTGGGACCTGGCCAAGTAGAGGAAAGGTGAAAAGGACAACCTGAGGAAGACTTCTTACTTCATATGAGGAAGACTCCTTAATTCATCAGGGCGACCACCAGAGGGGGCGGCGCAAGCGCAGAAGAGGCTAATGTCGTAATAGACTGATGTAGCAATCTTTGATGCATATGTATTAGTCAATGATGTAATCTGTGTTCAATATGTATTAGTTACGAAATTTTTAGTGTATAAATTGCGAACGCGATGTGACAGGAATCAGAACCAGATTTGGGTGCGTACCCCTGGTTCCTGGCACCTCAATAAAGCACCTCATATAACCATTCCGGTGGTTATGTGTCAGTTCTTACGCCAACAGCACAACCCAGCACGGAGCGGGTTCATGGAGCTGTTTGCCCATGACCTGCTCCTGCAGAGGTTCCTTCATCCATGAGAGAGCCTGAAGTGTCAACATATCCAATTTTACCTCCTGGGATTTGTTCTCTGTTTCACTGGAAATAAATTTCCAGAGAGCAAAGATGGGCGCTCCTGCTAGGGCAGTGCTGTGAAACACAAGTGCTTCCCAGCAGGGAAGTTCAACCAGGGCAAGTGCAGGGTCCTACACTTGGGTCAGGGCAATCCCAGACATACCTACAGGCTGGACGGAGAAGAGATTCAGAGCAGCCCTGCGGAGAAGGACTTGGGGGTGTTGGTTGATGAGAAAATGAACATGAGCCGGCTTCAGTGTGTGCTTGCAGCCCAGAAAACCAACCGTATCCTGGGCTGCATCAAAAGGAGCGCGACAGCAGGTCGAATGAGGTGATCCTGCCCCTCTACTCTGCTCTCGTGAGACCTCACCTGGAGTATTGTGTGCAGTTCTGGTGTCCTAAACATAAAAAAGGACATGGAACTGTTGGAACAAGTCCAGAGGAGGGCCACGAGGATGATCAGGGGACTGGAGCACCTCCTGTATGAAGACAGGCTGAGAAAGTTGGGGCTGTTCAGCCTGGAGAAGAGAAGGCTGCGTGGAGACCTCATAGCAGCCTTCCAGTATCTGAAGGGGGCCTATAAGGATGCTGGGGAGGGACTCTTCATTAGGGACTGTAGTGGTAGGACAAGGGGTAATGGGTTCAAACTTATACAGGGGAAGTTTAGGTTAGATATAAGGAGGAAGTTTTGTCATGGTTTAAGCCCAGCCCTTAACTCAGAACCACGCACCCACTCACTCACTCCCTCCATTCTTCCCCCTGCCCTGCTTCCGAAGGTGCGGGGAGGAGAATCAGAAGAATGTAAATCCCATAGCTTGAGATAAGAACAGCCCATTGTACCATTTGCTTTTCCCAGAGGCTGGTGCATGATAAGGGATGTACATACTCAATGCCATCCTATTTGGCCCAAGTGTCTATAAGCTTATTCAGGAAATGAGTTCCATTGTCTGACTCAATTCTCTCTGGGGTGCCATGTCACCACAAGACTTGTTTCTGAAGGCTCAGGATAGTGTTCCAGTCAGTGGCGTGAAGCACAGCGTGTGTTTCCAGTCATCTGGTGATTGCTTCCACCGTGGTAAGCACATGGGAAGTGAGAGTGGTGAGGCACTGGAATGGGTTGCCCAGGGAAGTTGTGAATGCTCCATCCCTGGCAGTGTTCAAGGCCAGGTGGGACACACCCTTGGGTGACATGGTTTAGTGTGAGGTGTCCCTGCCCATAGCAGAGGGGTTGGAACTAGATGATCTTGAGGTCCTTTCCAACCCTAACTATTCTATGATTCTATAAAACACTGTCCTACCATCCAGACTGTTGCAGCCACAGGATGCATGGGCAATGACAAAGTGCAATTAAATTGATGCCAAATAACCAAGAGGTAATCAAACACTTGAGCAAGAGATTCTGCCTCTGCAGCATAATAATGCTCCAGCCTAATGACTGGAGACTACTGATTTTTGCTATTTTCTCTCCTTTTTTTGTTTTCTTTTATGAACTTCCTATACATAGCTTAGGCTGTCATAATCTCACACACTTTCTAAATTCCCACACACCATCAAGCCCAGGAAAAAATAGAATATTTGAAAGAAAACAAGATGCAACAGCTTTCCAAAATCCACAGTCATTTGCCAACAGGACTGTGCCATTCCATAGCTGTAAACTAAATGATGCATTTCCCAGCAGTGACCGGGGGTGCCTGGCACGTCCTGTGCAGATGCAAGCTCCTCTCCACCATGCACACACATGCAAGTACTTTGTACTAATTAGCACACATGTCTACATCCTCCTTGAGCTGCTTAGAAAAGTCACAGAAAACTAAACTTTACAACTTCTGTACCGAAACAAAGCCTCTCTGTACTGCATGCTAAGTTACTGCAGTTTCCAGTCTGACATGTCTGTGAATTCAACTCACAGCTTGGGAGACAGGAAACACCAGCTTCAGAGCTCAGAGGTGAGTTGCATCCTTACGAATGAAAGAGCAGTGGTTTGTGTCTCAGCAACGCTTTACATTCAAGCTCGCTGTTAACTAACTCTAAAACGCACAGAAAAGGATGGGAGACTTTCCTCCAAGCACAGCTCATGCAAAGCTGCCTGCTTCTGAAGCACCCACCCTTCCACGGCTGAGAAGCCTGCTGAGGTTCTGCCCACACTCACATTACAAGGGAAGAAGGAATGAGTGGGGAGCCACCCTCTGCAGGACAGGAACCTGTACCTTCAGGGACTCATGAGCTGGCTCTTCTCCTCTGCTACCAGGTTTCTACTGATGAAACAAGGAGGCACAAAAGTACAAAATGTAATCAGTTCTAAGTAATGTTAAGTTTGATGGCTTTGTAATGGAAAATAACTGCGGTGCTTGAAGGTAATTGACATAGTTTCAGGACCTCAGGACCTCAGTACAACAGGTGTGAGAAAAGCAGAATAGAAGGACAGGACCTGGGGATGGGGAGTACCTGGGACTAGCAGATGTCCAGGGTGGGCACAGATAAACTAACTGATAAGTAAAAGGACAGGATGATTGCTATGCTTGGGGTGTTAATAAACCCATCAAGCTGGTGTAAGCATCTACTAGGGAGTACCTGGGACTAGCAGATGCCCAGGATGAGAGCAGTTAAACGAACTGATAAGTAGAGGCCAGGATGATCGCTATGTCTGTAATGTTAATTAAGCTTGTGGGGAAAAGTAAACGACCCTTAAAGACCACCACATTTTTGTATGCATGCCGCCGGAAACTTTTTGGAAAATGATGTAATATGCTCAGTGACCATATAAGGATGACCTGTAGAGCAATTCGGGGACACACGTTAGGAGGAGCTATCCCCCGTGTCTCCCGGCACCGCAATAAAGAATACCTGCTTGTCAACTTGAAACTCTGCTGGCAAGTTTGTTCCTGGAGTTTTCTCCGAATCACTGGTGACTCCTGTGGACCTGGTTTACCTAACAAAAAGAAAATTAAGATTAGTCCTTTCTCTTTTAGACCAAAATTCTCCACCAAGCAGTCTGTCATGAGCACTTATTCCCAAATGAAAGCACTTGGCATTTTGCTGGTGCTGCCAGGATGCAGCAGACAGGGCATGGCACCTGCATACTAGAGCTCACATCTGGTTCACTGGGGCAAGTTGCTTCTCTTCCATGCGTGCTGGAGAAAGGGATCTCCGAGGAGCATTAATTTTTCAGGCTGCTGGAAGTGCAGCATTTCACCCTCCCAGGCAATAGGACACCAGCCCTGGCCGGGGACAGCAGTCAATGCTCGCAGATGAGCCACAAGCCGCTGCTGTTCCACTGGGGACCCACTCCAGAAACTTTCTGGAAACATGCAGTTACCAAAAAGTGAGAGTGTACTTACGATCCCACTCTGTTGCAGAAGGACTGAAATCACACGTAATTGCCTATAATACAGTGTTCCTTTTAGGAAGAAAAAAACCAAAGCCCACAGTATCTTTCAAAAGCCATGGAAGTCTCTCTTGCGTAGTAGCATGGCGGATTTCATTTTGACATGTCTTAAATTTGAATAAAGTCTGACTTAAAGCCCTAGGCCATAGTTACTTTAGGGGAATTTCCAAGCGAGCTGACTACAGAATTGAAGTGCTCTGTGTGAGTGGGTGTCACTCAGATTTATGCCACTGGAAACCTAAATAGCTGGAAGAGTGGGATCCAGGGACTCTTGTATGAAAGGGAGCTCAGAGTTCACATCAGCACAGGTTCAAGAACAAGGTGCTAAGGCCAAGAGCAGACTCTCCTCCTTGCAGGTTGAAGAAGTAAACCCTTTTCTCAGGAAGGATGTTTTCCAGAATGGGAGAGAAGCTACTCTTTTGCAGGCACAGAGGCACAAGGGTGCAAGGAACACCCTGGTTCAGCACCAGTGCTTACTAGCTGTTCACCTCTTTTAGAATAAGGGTTCATCATTGCTATATAAGCAGAAGCTGGATGTTTTGTGAACCACCATGTCTGCTATACACCAGGAAGAGCATGCACAAGGAGGAACAGCAAGGCAGAGCTCACACACCATAGCTGCACAGGTCCCTACCAGCACAGGAGTCTGGAAAGCACGCAGGACACTCTTCACGCGTGACTTACTCCCCATTTCACAGCACATCAGCCAAGACAAGCAATAGGAAGCTGAGGAAGCAGTGGACAGAAGGAAGTTGCCCCTTCCCAGTCTCTGCAGAGATCTGAGAGCCCCATGCTTGATGGCAGCATCCCCCAGCCCCGCTGGGTGAAGGGCTGGGAGCACATGCCAGCGGTAGAGTTTGGGTTCATGTTTGAAAACTCCAGTGTCACAGGTTACCTGAAACAGCCCTCAGCCCTTTTCCCCTCACATAAATAAACAGTAAAACCAAATATTTTCACACTTCATGGGAACACAATGGCAGAGTGTGCTTAATTTATTAAAATCACCACATCTTTCCCAAAGTATACCAGTATGTAAAATATGCATACAAAATACAACATTGAAACAAATTATTTACATCCAGGGCAGCTGCAATATCAAGCAATAACTTTAGCAGTAGTTTTGAAAACAACTTGCTGCAGTGTACACTAGAGTAGATATTTCACAATATGAAGGTTGAATTTTTACCACTGTACTGCTATATGAAGTTTTAAGATATTACAATACTTCCAGATAAAATATTAATGCTCCTTTAAAAAACAGACGACTGAGAAACTGATCTGTAGACTGACAAAACACGCATTTCTCTTTGGGGACTGAAAACCACAGCAGATTTAGACGCAAATATAACAGCTACATTCAAAATACATTCAATCTATTTATGCCAAAAATACATTCAGTTTAAGTTATTACTTATTGCACATTTCTTATATTCTGTAGAAATATATTGTACCTCTTAATGTGTATTTCCCATACAGTCATAAATTGTACTGCCTGTTAAAACAGAACACAGATGTCTTTCCCTGAAAACTTCACACAGATTGGGGTACCCTGCCACATAGGTATGATACCTGCCACACCACTTGGAATCACAGGCGCACAGCTGGCACTGCCATGGTTCAATTCATGGGAGAAGACAAGCTCTCAGTGCTGCTGCTGGTAGCACCCATGCGCAGTGGCACAAGGTTCCACGTGCAGGCCAAGGAACAGCTCTGCAAAACTGAAGCTAAACCACAGTAGGAACTTTTGAGCCATAACCTTTGTGAACATGCATCACTTTTTGTGCACCTATATCTGCACACCACAAACAATGTGGTAGAGAGTCTTCCCACACATCCTCCCAGTGAAATCTGTGGTACGGGTGGGAGCCATGCAGGAGCACTACCTGACACAGACAGAAATCCTGGTGCTAAGCATGTCCACATAGAAGTGAGGCAGAGTAAGATGCCATTCGTAGCATCAACGAAGGAAACACAAAAACTTCCTTCCTATGAGCAAGGATGTGCCAAGGACATCCTTGAGCCCACCAACAGCCACATGAGATCCAGACAGAGACTGCAAGAAGATCTTGATCCTTTCAATGTTAAGAACCCGCTGTAGGGACTAAACATATTTCTAAAGAAATTTATTTATAATTCCTGGACCTCTTGCAAAAAAAGAAGTGACGTAACAATGACTGAAATATTAAAGGATTCATTACAGGGTTACATGAGGGAATGATCTCAGTTAAGTGCAAATGACTATAAAAGTAGCAAAGTGCAAAATAGATTAGAGTTTCGATTTCTCAAGGGGTACTTGAGGGGACCACTTAAGGAAACAAAAAATTAGGTGCTTGAGATATGGCAATTAACTTTCCCTTTCAGTTCATATTCCATGCATTAAGGTTTATGTTGTTATTAGAAGTGAATTTAAAAGACTAGTAACTCCTCCAAGCTAGAAGCATCAATTAGGAGAGGCTGAATGTGGTGACAGGTCTTGAGCATCCTTGAGCTTGGAAACTTCTATGAGCTTAAGAATTTGTGTTTTAAATGGAGATTAGCAGGAACATCAGTAAACTCTCAAGAAACCTAATGCTCCCTAAAACCACGAAGTGTCTCAGCATAACCTCTGCTCTTAAATTTGAACACAACAAATCTACATTGAGGGAAAAGACCACTAAAACAAGGGTTCTTTGGTTTTGTTTAAAGGAGTGTATAGCTTACAAACATCTTAAAGCCCAGTACAACATCAACCCTTTGGCTCAGTTATGTTTAGCTTGCTAAAACATACATTCACCTCACAGGAAAAAAAAAAAAGAAAAAAAGAAAACCAGTGCAAAAATATTGAGCTAAGTTAAAAGCTAGGGCAAACAGACCATAACATCTATGCACAAGAAAAGACTGAAAGTATTCCCGGGGCTGGAGCTGCGAGAGGTGCAGCCCAGTCAGACAGACATGGCCTAAAAATCCACTACTCCATAAGACTGACCAAATAGATAGGAAAAAGCAAGTGGCATTTACAACTAAAAAGAAGTTACTGATGGTGGTTACACTGGTGTCTGAAGCAAGATTTAACTGGAAAAAAGCAAGGGAAACAGGCAGCAACCCAGGGACGGTATAGCAGAGGAATGCAAGCTTCTGCCTATGTCGTCCCTGCACATCTTGTCCAATTTTATTACACCACAGTGCAAATAAAAACTGGGTGAGCTGCAGTGTAAGGGCATTGTAACAGCCACACGAGCCTTGCAAAGGCAGGGACCATATTTACTGCAGTAGCTACAACAGGCACAAATGCTTCCGCAATCCCCAGAGCAGGGGAGGGCTTCAAGAAACACCCAAGCAGCTGCCAGCAGCACAGCAGTGGCAGCACCAGATCCACAGCCTCGAGCAGGTAGTACTGTCCCCGCTCACCAGTCTACCATCCTGCTACCCAGTAAACCTTCCTGGAAACACCTCCTAGCTCTACAGAGTGGGTCACCAAAGCGTTTTATGCGAAAATGGTGGGGTTTTAATTTCACAGCATGACTTCAGTCTAGCACAGCTCCTGACCCAGAGGAGCTTCTGCATAGACACCAAATTCCTCCACCATGCAATCCACTTCCTGGGAAAGAATCCCCAGGAGCAGTTATCACATACAATTTAGAGGCATAGATACTTTCAAAGGATACTAAGGGTAAAAAGTGCATAGGACAATTTAAAATGGAAGAAAAATCTCTAGAAAGCATTCTGACAACTCTCCCTGCGAAGCTCAAGGAATGCCTCCGTTTCAGGCAAAAAAACCCTGACATGTTTTAAAAGTGGTGTAAGAGGAACTAATGGTGTCCGTTGGCCATCTTGCGTTTTGTACAGCAACTGGTTTTCACCAATGGGTCTCAATGCATCGAGACTGCTACAAACATCACAGGCTTTCCAACCAGATGGTTCCTTTACACTGGTCAGCAAACACCACTCCTTCCTGAGCAGTCATGAACCTGCTCAACCACAAACTGTACTGCTAACAAAAGGTGTACCTGCTGTCAGCGTATGGGCAAGTGTACTTGGCCTCCTTTTGAAACTGCAGTATTTTTTTGTTTTAAAATAATTTCCTTCAGTTATTTCAGAACTATTTTAATCAACTACTTCTGTTTCATTATTGATCACTCCAGCAGTGCTGTGATTATGCAAGTGCATCACACTGCGAGGAGCAGACATCCAGGAATACACTGGAATTGTTTCCAGAGTTCCACTGGCTAGCTGTACATGGGTACCCCATACTAGCAGATCACCCTAGTAGCTTGAGTAGGCTTCACTCTTTGATACATCCTCCTTTTGTTAATTGTTCTAAATGACTCAGTTTAATGCATATTTTAACACACTTCTCTGGTTGGTCACAAACATTCGATTCTTTTTCTCTCAGACAAGCTAACTGGGTTCACAAGCACCAGGAGCTCTGGAATGACAGACCATTTCCTTTCAGGCACCTTCACAAGTGCTACAGCAATTCTGAAAAGTGCATCTCATCTGCACATTCTACACACTTTTGAAGCAGCAGTCCTAATACTACTTAAAATTACTTTTATTTCAGGGGATAAGACATTTCCTTTTCCCATTTAAAATAAATCTTTGATTGCTCCTTTTTAACATAAGGAATTTTTTTCAAGCTATATTCTATAAGAACAAATGCTGGATCTTTTGTTTGCAAATATTTTGATACTGAAGTCAGCATCATGCTTCGGATCATGCAGTTGCAACAATCACCCTTCCAACAGCTACGGAAGAACGCATCTGTTGAGCTCCCTGGTGTAGTTTATGCAGTTGAAGCACACAAGAATTAAACCTATAGGATGGCTTTGATTCCGTCTCAGAAAGCATACTGGAGAAAAATCTACTAGCAATTTAGTAGAAATACTCCACACCTTTCAGCTAACAGACCATGCAAAGACTTACAGTATTTAACACAAGCAGGAGTGACTAAAAGTTATGCAAACAGGTAAATGGCATTAGAGCCTATTTACAGCACAGTTAACATCTATAAAGTGTCCATAATGTCCTAGTGTCAGGATGAAACATGGAGTACTGATACTGCTGAGCATCCCACTCAGTAAATGTTTAACCCATTTTTCCATGTAAAAGCTCCAGTTCAAGAGGTTACATGTCAAAGATTGATCTTAAATAACATACTTAGCAAACAGCTTGCTTCCACAGAGCTGCCTGTGCTACACTGAATTTTTGCAAAGCTTTACTACTCTGGAAAGACTTCTGGGCTTAATTTCCATGGACCATTCAGATTCAAAAACATTTGAAGAACCATATTATTATGAAATGTATAATTTTGGCTACTAAAAATATTAAAAATATTAAAAAATACACTGTATTCAAATGTGTGGACCACGGAGTGGGGCAGAATCCACAAAATGCCAGAACCTCAGTGAATTCTGAAAAAAAACACCCCACTTTCAATAGCTTGCAGTATTATGGAAATGCCATTAGACATGTTTATACTTTTCTCCAGCCCGGCGCTGTTACAGAAATCCATGCGAAGCCTCTGAATAGGCTGTATTGGCTTCGTGCAAGGACATCAGCGCTTTAGATTTACATTTTAACAGATCCCTAGGCCACAACAGACAACAGCAACAGTGACCTAGTCCAGAGTGCAGGTACATTTGAAACATTAAGCCTTGGTCACTGCTTGCATGGGCACCCCCATATCCTCCAACACAGTGAGGTGGGTGCACAGTATGTCACTCCAGTGAGAAACTAACCTTTCTGACAGGTTTCAGCTGTCTCCCAAGGATTAATTTTGTTAAAGCTTCCCCCTAAAACATCAAAAGGCACTAAAAAAATGTTACCAGTGGCAGATTGGCAAAATGTTGTTTAAAAATATATACTCTCTCAGATTAGGTAGAATTCCTCCTATTCCACCCCTACATATCTATCAGAAAAGTATTGCCTCTATTATTTTTCCTACTACTAAAAATAAAAATTGTCTCTTAATCAATATGCTCAATAAACAAATGAACAGAGTGAAATAACTCCAGATACTAACTATAATATAGTATATGAAACCGAGAAAATAAAAATAAAAGTTAATAAAAACCTGACTAGATGCTTTTGTTCACAACATACATACTTAGTAGAATTTTCATCTTTTTTATTTGCTTTGGTAATGATAAATAGAGTATTTAAAAATACATTTTACTGACAGGCCCTTTTCAGATACCTGCATAAAAATATGTAAAAAGCTGGATTAAATTTGGTCTTTTACTTGGTTTGAGGATAAAACTTGTTGTTTCCCTTGCAAACAGGCTTTAAGCAATATTAGTTATTTCCAGTATGTTTGGGGTTTGAGTATGATAAAAAGCACAATAGCAGAAGGTATTTTTTCACTGCTGTGGTGTTTTAAGCTCCTTTATGCAATTAGCCTAGTGTCTAATATTAGAAAACCAAAGCAAGTCATTGACTTCCTGTATAAAACACAATCTACGAGTCAAAAGTTGCCCCTTCCAGTGGCCGAATACGAATCTAGATGTCAGTGCTCTGGTTTGAGCACTTAAATACTGAACTATGTTATCTGAGGTAGACCAAACATAAAAATAATGTCACATGTTAAAAGGTGAACAGAAGAATTCATTCCCCTCTTGTCCTCCAGGGAGCTCCATCAGGCTTTGGAGTCCTCCTGCACACAGAGCTGCGAGATGGTCTTCTTGATACGCAGCGCGGTCAGCCGCGCAGCGCTGTTGGCATACCAGCACTCACGCATTATCCTGCCCATCACTCGCAGCGCCTGCAAACAAGAAATTAAAAGAACAGGTCAAGAATAAAACCATCACCTCCTGCTTTTATTTTTTAATAGCAATACCCTGAGATAAAATATAGCTCTCCGAAACAGTAATCCAACAGCAGTATCATGGATTAAGACCTATATTTGAGAGAGTTCAGCACTGGGTGCAAAGACAGTTTGTATTGATCTGGGAGCTGAAAAAGAGCTAGACATCTGAAACACATTTACATTCAAAAGAGGCTGGACATCAGAAAAATTCCACCTTAATTTAAATATGCTTTGTAATAAACAGGAAAACTGCTTTTACCTCACAGCTTTGCCACTGGTTTGGAATATTTGGTCTGAGCTTCTGCTCACAAACTACCCTTCTCATGTCTTCTATTGAAGGATCAGAAGGCACAACATCATAGTAAGGCAGCTGGTATTCCTCAATGATTCCTAGGAAAGATTTATTGTGCATGTAACACAAAATCCAAAGTAGCTGCTCCAGAATAAACTCTAATTGTTTTTACAGGCAATGGGAGAGAGCAGAGGAATATTTGGGACTACACTGAACAAAAGCTCCATGACAGTTTTCTATTACCACATACTGCCAAGATAATTGAGAGTGCTTTTGGTTTATTAAAGATAAAAGTGGTCTGGACTGCAAAATTAGTTGTGTTCAGCTCTGAGGTCCCCAACATAAGAAGGATGTGGAGCTGTTGGAGCAGGTCCAGAGGAGGCCACAAAGATGCCCCAAAGGCTGGACCACCTCTGCTATGGATACATGTTCAGAGAGCTGCGCTTGTTCAGCCTGGAGAAGAGAGGCTTAGAGCAGCTTCCAGTTCCTAAAGGGGCCAACAAGAAAGCTGAAGAGGGTTTTTTTACAAGGGCAGGTAGGGATAAGACAAGGGGGAATGAATTTAGACTGATGAAGGGGAGATGTAGATTAGATATTAAGAAGAAGTTCTTTCCTGTGAGGGTGGTGAAACACTGGCACAGGTTGCTTGAGAAGTTGTGGCTGCCCAGTCCCTGGCAGTGTTCAAGGCCAGGCTGGACATGGCTTGGAGCAACCTGGTCTAGCGGAAGGTGTCCCTGCCCATGGCAGGGGGGTTGTAACTGGGTGATCTTTAAGGTCCCTTCCAACCCAAATCATTCCAGGATTCTATGAAAAGGCCAGAAACCTCACCCCCAACAGAGCACCTTCGGGCTATCTCCCAGTATACTAGCCCAAGAGAGTATATGTCTGCACGCTTGAAGGACTCGAAGATGTTCATGTTCATTGCGTCATCAAGTATCTCAGGAGCCATATACCTTTAAAGCACACAAAGGTTAATTTGCTGGAGCGTGTACATACGAACAACTGCAGCTGCACTGCTGCATGCTGGAGCCAGGGAGCAGCTGGTCCTACTGCAAAAAAAGGGAACAGAGAAACTCCTTTGATAGCAATTTTGAGTGTAAGAGACAGAGTTGTCCTGGGTGGCGAGTGTAACACTGAGAAAGTCTGAGACAGTGCTTCACACTATGCAGTTCAAGTGACTGTTACGAACTAAGCCACCTGAAACCCCAGGGACAGACAGGGATGGGCTACCAGTAGAAACAAATCATGTCCTCTCTTAAAGGCACTGGTCTCCAGCTCTGCTTTGCTGCTTGCCTTTCACCTTTCACTACCAACAGCTATGCTGGTGGAGGCAGGCAAATCACAAGAGCAACACTACAGCTACCTACATCCACACACGTTTCCATGATTCCTCATGGTGCTGGGCATGATGCACTTCCTGGGCCCCGCAGCACATGGGGTGACCGACACTAGACACCCACGCCACAGAGCACATGTGGGCTGCTGTGTTCCATCCCATCCCAGGGCTGGCAACTGCCTTCTGCACCCAGCCAGCAGGGACAGAGGGCTTCGGTCTGTTGCCAACACTTGACATGCCAAAAGCAGAGGAGGAAGTCATCAATGGAGGAAAGGGCCGAGGGGCACAGAGGAGCCATCCCAGCAGTCAGCAGCCCACCTTCACCCACCTCCTGGTCCCAACCCGGGGGTTCTGGGGAATGTCAATGGTGTTCAGCACCGAGTCGTGCTTCACTGCCAGGCCCAGGTCTGCTATGGCGCAGCTTTCGTTCCTCTTCACTAGGATGTTTTTAGATTTCAGATCTCGGTGAGCGATTGCTGGCTTGCCTGTTCACAGAAGAGAAAGCACTGTCAGTTTTGATAATAGTATGAATTTTAACATAACGAGCAAGGAAGAAAACCCATTTTTGTTCAACTTTGTTACTATACCCTGTGAGAAACCACTGAAGCCTATTTTGTACCAAGTCCAGCTCTGCTAAGTGCCTGCAATTAAACAAACAAACAAAAAAAAAGCCCTTGAGGACATTTTTGTCCCAGCATTGGTATTTCAAGAATAAAACACAAAAAGAGAAAGTGGCAAGTTTACCCTCTAAATTAATTCAGCAAATCCTTCACTGGCACTCCCTTTTAGCACAGCTGCTCCCATAGGCACCCGCTTTAAAGATGTAAAAGGAGAAGCAGACAGAGAAAGAGGGAAGATGATACTCCTATTCTCTGTTGATACTGTACCACACTCACGCTAATACTGTGTCTTGCAGTTTAACAGTTTGTAACATGCCTTCCTATACCATATCACCCATAACCACTTTTGCAAATACTGCTGAAGCTCCTTCAAACACCTGAAGTACAAGCGGAGGGGAAGCACTTGCCTTGTGTGCCAACGATCTCCATGTGGAGGTGTGCCAGGCCACTGGCCACTGACAGCGCCAGCTTCACCATGCCCTCCACTGTCACTGTGCCTCTGTTCAGGTAGTCAAACAGGGACCCTTGCTCGTGGTACTCGGAGACAAGCCAGAGCTGTGTCCATGTCCCGTTATCTATCCAGAGGAAACAAGGTTATTCAGCTTTAAAAAGAATCATCCGGGAAAAGCTTTTCCCATTTTGTGGCCAGCTCAGACATGCAAACGAACAAGTCTTCTGGCCACACCATGAGGAAGGAGCTCAAGGAAAGCTGTGGCTTTCAAAGTGGTGTTTCAGATGGGAGTCAGGGCAGTAAAAGCAATTCCGATACAGAGACCTGGGATTTCCTGCAGGACTCACAGCGTACCCTTGTTATCGGCCGCAATGAAGCCCAGGATGTTCTCGTGTCTCAGCATAACCGTCTGATAAATTTCTGCCTCACGGAACCAGGATCGCTCATCTCTAGAGGAGAAGATTTTCACAGCTACATCTTCCCCACACCATTTTCCACGCCAGACTTCACCAAATCGGCCTTTTCCCACAATTTCCTGCAGGACAATAGTCCTCGCGATGGTTCTTTGTACGAGCAAAGGTAAACCTAGTTTAAAGAAAAGATATGAGTATTTGTGACATAGCAGTGATCTATAAATCCTGAAGCTGGACATTTTTCAGTGAGCTGTTCTCAGGACTTTGCTTTCAGAGAGTACCAAGGGAATATCTTTTCCCAACAAAAATCTCCCAAAATCATACTTTTGAATGTTACTTGCCAGATGAGTGCACATTATGTCTGTTACTAGGTATAACAGTGTCACTTCTGAAGCAAGCTGAAGAGAGCCCTCTGTGCCACCAGCACCGTGCAGACTGAAGACCAGAGCACGGTTTTGGAGCATGCCAAGACCTGAGCTACTTAATTGAGTTTGATATGGACTACTGCTTGTTTTGCAGTCAATTTGTTCTGGGTGAAATTTTCAAAAGGAAAAATAAATTATTGTGGCAGTTTCATTTTGCTTTGCTGGCCATAAACTCCTTCCTCATTTGACCTGATACCATGCTTGTTTGGGGCTTAAAATAAATGATTGGGGCTTTTTTTGTTGTTTTTTTGATTTGGTCTTTTTTTGTTGTTGTTGTTTTGGGTCTTTTTGTTGTTTTTGTTGTTGTTGTTATTTTTTAATCGAGGCAACCTTGCTTTTAACAGCAAAATAATGAGCAGGAAAAATACAGTTTGAAGATCAGCTTACTCAAATTCCCTCCCATTTCTCCAACAGAGCCTCACCCTGCAGCCAGTACTAACTTCAAACAGGCTCATCCTGGCTGCCTGTGGCCAGCCCTGGGTTGGCTCTGGGCAGAGATGAGCAAACTTGCCCTTCAGCTGAAATCAGAACAAACCGCACCAGCACGCACAAGACTCCATCTGCCTCCACCATGGCTCAGCACAAATAAAGCCCTGTTATTAGCTCAGGGATACTGATGGACAGTTGAAACTTCAGGATAAATAAAGCCAAAGTCTACTCATTATATCTGTGAAAAAGCAATCAAGAAGTATAATAAATTAATCTTAAAGGGCATGTAGTTAACGGAAAACAAAATTTCAGCCAGAAATGTTTTGTTTCAGACTTGAAACTGACTTCTGAGTTAACTTTTTTAACTTTTCCATTCAAATAATCAAACTTTCATAATTTGACAGAAAAAGAGCAAACAAAGCCCTATTTCTGCTGTAAGGTGTCATCAAGCGTATCAGCACAAAACTTCCCTTGACATAAAACCTGTCACTGGTGTGAGACCTTCTGAATTAAGACCCCCACCAGTGGGCACCCTGTGCCCAGTTGGCAATGTTCTTTACATCCCTACAAGCAAGGTGGCACATGTGCCTTTTCCATCAAGAATATCCGCTCTTTATGTTGGTGGCAAAGCAAAGGCAGCCACGGTGAAGGCAACAGGAGGGCAGCTGGGCAGCCCCCACATACCAGAGCCGGAGCCAGAGGTCGTCATGTCGTAGATGAGATCCTTCAGCGTCTTCCCGGAGTTCACCAGGTTGCACTCGGAGAGCGGCTCCTCCACATTGGGCTGCTTCGCCCTGCCACGGGCACAGCGCCGACTCTGGCAGGTGCACGCCACCAGCACCGCCGCGAGGGACAGGATGCAGACTGGCACCGCCACTGTCACCGCCAGCACCACTGGTCCCGTGCTGGCTCTGCTGGGAGACTCCGATGCTTTTGTTAGACACAGGAAAAAGAGGGGAAAAAGACAGTAAGTGAAGGGCTGCGGAGCAACAACATACTTAGATTTAATGATTTCCCACAGTTGTCCTGACCAGCACTGGCAGCAGTGAGACAGACCGCATTTCTGTAAGTTATGGAGTCTTTCCCACCACACTTTTTTTGCAGGTAGCCCAGATTCGGGTTAGCACTGTGAGCACTGCTGACCACCACCACCTCAGGCAGACCACCCCACCAGCCCTACCAGCAGTTCCTAAGGGCAGCACCAGCAGAAATGCTCAGAAGCATGTGGCTGGTGGCAGCGCAGCTGGAGGTAAGGTGCCATATAGACCACCACTATACCTACCCCCAAACAGCCCCAGGAAAGCTCCTCAGACATGCTGTCCCCTCCATGCAGGGTACTGCCCACTTGTATCCCCACTGATTGGTTACTAAACACATGCAGACTTCTCACAACACAACACATACTAACTACCAGCTTCTCCAGCTAGTCCATCCCACCTCTCTGCACTATTCAACACAGCAAACATCTGAAGAACATTTCTTTGCAACTGCAAAGAAAAAGCAGAAAACGCAAAAACGCAGCAGAAACCCTGCGAAGTATGCGGTTCTAATTTGTTTTGTTAGCAAAGAACTATTTGTCTGCAGTTAGCTGATCTCCCACCTCCCCACCGCAGAAGATCAAGAGACAGGACCTGCAGGTCCCACCAAGATGCAATCCATGCACAGGGCTGCACCAGCTTGCCCACCACTCCAGCAGTCAGCAACCTGCATTCCTCACAGAGGAGCAGAAGCATGCATGCAGTCTGCACTCAGTGAGCAACACCAGATCAGCTTTGTAACCAGCAGCACAGTGCCCTTCCCACACTTGAAAGCCTGTGTGTAAATTTCTCGGCACACTGCCCCCGCTGAAAACAAAGCCTTGGAAAAAAATATTTCCTAACAATGCATACAGAAATACAAAATTCTAGTAAATAAGGCATTACAAGGATTTCTAAGACAGAACACTTTTGGAACTTGTGTTCATGAAGCTGCATTTCACAAGAGTCAAGAAACAGGACTGTCCTGGATCATTTTCCATTTCTCTCAAACTGTAAGGGTAAAACAAAACGTATCAGGAAGCTATAGGAATACATTACTAAGGTATTTACTTGCACATGCACACACAATGTGTCAACCTTAATGACCCCAAAATTGTAAATAAGCAAAATGACAACAAACACACAAAGAAAAAACACCAACACTGTACCCACCCACCCCAAAAAAATTAACCCCCAAAATGCCTCAACACTCAGAATCATGAGTACCAAACAGTGGATCTAAATAAAGGCTTTGGAAGATTTAAGAATCATGAATCCCACACCACCAAAATCACGCCTTTGCCATTTTAGAAAATGAACGGCCCCTCTCTCCCTTCAGAAAAAAGCTAAGCAACCTGTATGCTGTAATCCAGATCCTGAGAGTAACTCAGAAGCAGCCTGATGGCCCTCAGCATTGACTGCTACTTTCCTCCAGTTACTATTACAATAGAAATACTTCTCCAATGGACCTCATCAAGCCATGCGCTCAGTCTTCAGAAGTGGCAAGAGCATTAGCTGTGGAAAGCTAACTTGCTCCTTTTTCTTCTCTTCCTTAAATTTTAGCACTATATGCTTATGATTAAGTGGGAAAAGAAAAGAAACAAATGTTAACAACAGAAGGCCCCATGTCTATTCATGGCACACAATTCAAATCATTCTGAAAACAAAGCTGTTACATCTTGCCTGCAGGCTTTTTCTTTAAAAGACTTCAGCTGGACACTCAAGGGGTTATCTGCTAGATTTTTAAGAGGATTTGAAAGCAGGACTCCTCCTTGCAACTGCTGCTTGTTAACTGACACACGGTGATTTCCCAAGCTCTTTTTAGTTATGTGTCTACATGGCAGAGGCTTCTCCCAAAGCAGATAGGAAATGCAGCAAGTCACAGGAACTTGGGCACTGTCACCGAACACTGTGCCTTGCAGAGCTGCTTCGGCTACGCAAGACTGCATGGCTGGGAAATACCGCATGCATGATGAAGGCTGCAGAGGAAGACTGCCATGCTGTGCAGCTGGGCACAGAGCTAGAACGTTGTGTTGTGATGAGGAGTTGTCCTCTGGGTGTTCATAATACAGCACTTCTAGTGTCATCACCCAAACCAATGCCCGCATTGCAGACCTAAGCAGATTTATTATCTGAGCGGCTATGACAGACAAACATGCACAAGATGCTTACTATAAAATGTCAGTTTTTCCCACCAACTGATCAAAAACAACATACCATGAAATTAACAAAATATAAAACTTTATTGTTCTTAGGCCAGTGTGAAGAGTATTAAAAGGAAAATAATCAAGAAGCTTTGAACAGCAGCAGAAGAGAGACTCAGAAGGGCATCTTCACAGACAGGAACACAAGCTACAGGTCCTGAACCGAGGAGCAATTCTCCCCACCACAAGCAGTCCTACTGTGGATGATCTTAAGCACCTGCAGATCCTGCACATGTCACATGCCAACAGACAGGCAGGGGGCAAGCATTGGTCCTGGTGTCGCATCCTCCACCAGTGCCTGCTGCTCTTGCCTGTGAGTCTTGCCATGCACCCACATCGTCTTCTGCTGGAGAGTCTTTCCACTTTGTCAGCACAGTGTCTGCTGCCGGGTCACAGTAGTCCCTTCTCGCAGCTCCTTCTTTTCCCTTTTTTTTTTCACAGCTACCTTTGTTCCAGAGCACCACTCTTTACAGATTCAAACTTCAAAAAAATCTCCACTTCTCTTTTTCTTTGCTTTCATGCCCATTTTGTTGCAGGCTGGATGGTACAGGCAGCAAACCTGTACAGGCAAAAAAGAGTAACAGTTATCATTGGCTTTTTATCTTAAAAATATACATACCTATGTATATATATGAAAATTTCCAGGATCTCGTGAAACTGGAAAGCAGCTCCAGCAGTACTTCAAATAGGAGAAAGGCCAAGTTTTGCTAAGAGCACAATACACTACTTTGCTTAGCTTTTCTTAGTTGTTCCTGAGCCCGTTGTATGCCTCATTGCTGCAATAACACCTTGGCCTGTATTTAGAGAGGCTGCATGGGCCACAGTTCCAGACTGGCAGCTATGAGAGTAACTGCGTGATGACAACAAGCACAAAGGACTGAGGCATAGAGCAAGGCTAGTGGAGAAGTTTCCATTTCCACAAGCACTCTTCTCATTGTTCAGTTTTCACTGCTACAGCCACATTACTACATTGGCCATGTCTACACTACCTTGTAATTTACTCCGCAAATCTAGGTTTGGTTCCTAGATTTGCCAACAGTAAGACAGACAACAATGCGGTTTAGGCTTCTGGGATGTGACAATTTGAAACTTGTGGTGCACTGTTTGTACACTGCAGACTACTGAAACAGGTGGCATAGCAGAATTTTAAGGGGCTCAGAATATGCTCAGTGTATATTCAAAAGGGGCAACAAACCACCCTCACAGAAAAAAAAAAAGTCTTCAATTTTAACAGAAAAGTGACCCAATTCATTTTTACTGAAAACGTGTATCGACACAAGTTGTGTCATCAAAGAACTGCAGAGAGAGCATTGCAAGAGAACCGCAATAGAACTTAATTTTTAGAGCTACTTCCCTGCCATATGGCATTCTGGGAGCCAGGCAACCAGCAGAGCAGGCTGGAGAAAGCAGCAGGTCTAGCAGGGACATTGTGAACACTGCAGGCCAGCAAAGCTGTCTTTGACTTTAGGGCAAGGAGCAGGAGAAGCTTCAGCTGAAGCAAGAGGATGGAGGAGGAAGCACAGAGACACTAACGTGGAGGAAGCACAGAGATGCTAACGGCCATTCTGGAGGTGTAGAGCAGGACATCAGACCAAAGCACAAGCAAAATTCAAAGACTCTCTTACACCCACTCAGGAGAGCGAGATCCAGCATCAGGAAAACAGACACCAGCTTTATGACTTATGCAGTGACAGTTGTTCAGAATAAAACCAAGCTCAGTGATGCTTACAGGTCTCCTCTGAGATGCTGCTAAGTTGAGAGGTCAAGTGCAGAAGGCAAGTTAGCAGTGAGACTGGAAGCTGAGGTGTCTGGGCCAGTTTGCACGAGGTCTCCACAGAGTTCCTGGCAAATGAAGAGATCCTGACTGTCTAGAGAAGTTTCTTGAAAGGAGTCAACCGGAAACCTCCTTTGTCATCCTTCAGTCTACTGGCTGTACCAAACTGTGGATCAAGGCTGGTGGCAACTACCCAAACCCTTTCCAGTTCTTCATAGAGCACATGTAGGAGACTTGAGAAGTACCAGCGCTGAGGTTTCTGCTGTACAGTTGATAACAGGCCATCTTCAGTCTTGACCCCTTGCAGCAGGGGGTCCTGCAGCCAGGGCAGCAGCCATGTCCTTGCTGCGCTTGTGCACCATGGCCCTTTGGGGATCCTTGGGGCGTCTCACAGCATAGACCATACAGGAGCAGTGACAAACAGCCCCGGTGCAAAATACATGGCACATAAGGTAAAAACAGTCATTAAAGGCAAAATCACCCAGTAAGTGTGGCAATGTTTACAGCAGTTGTGCAATGTTAAACTCTTTGGGAAGTAAGAACACCCCTCATGACTACCTAAAACTATCAAATCAACACCATTAATCACAACATTTTGCAATCTGATTGTGAATGTACTATTCAATGACTAATTAATCAAGAATAGAAGCTGAATACATGTTGCCATGTATGAAGTAAAAAAAGAACATCTGGCAATATCTATCAATTTCACAATATGGTATTAGTTGTATTCCAAGTTGTGTAAACAAAATAGTACTTTTAGGCACCAAAAAAAAAGGAAGGAGTTTTTTTTCTCCTCCAGTGGAAAAGACATTTTACACACAGCATTTGCCTTGCTTCTAACATATAATGGGCACTGCAAAACTTCTAAAAGCCCTGAACTATGCATGTTTAAGCTCCTAAACTACTCAGGGGGAGGGGGTTGGAAATATGCAC